ATGTATTTTACATTCTTTCTTTCTTTCTTTTCTTTCTTTCTTTTCTTTCTCCTTTTCTTTATTTCTTTCTTTTCTTTTCTTTCTTATTTCTTTCTTTCTTTCTTTCTCTTTCAAGGCGGAAGCTTTTTATTTCTTTTTTTTTTCGTTTCTTTCTCCTTTACTTTCTTTCTTTCTTTCTTTCTTTCTTTCTTTCTCCTTTTCTTTTCTTTCTTTCTTTCTTTTCTTTCAACAGTTTTCTTTCTTCTCTTCCCTTTCATTCTTATTTTCCACGGTTTCTTTCCTTTTCTTTCTTTCTTTCGCTTTTCTTTCTTTCTTTATTTCTTCTTTTCTTTCTTTCTTTCTTTCTTTTTCTTTCTCCTCTTCCCTTTCATTCTTATTTTCTTTCGTTTCTTTCTCGCTTTACTTTCTTTCTTTTCTTTCTTTCTTTTTTCTTTCTTTTTCTTTCTTTCTTTCTTTTCTTTCTCCTCTTCCCTTTCATTTCTTATTTTCTTTCGTTTTCTTTCTCAACAAAATTTCTTTCTTTTTCTTTTTTCTTTCTTTCTCGTATTTTCTTTCTTTCTTTCTTTTTTCTTTCTTTCTTTCTCCTCTTCCCTTTCATTTCTTATTTTCTTTCGTTTCTTTCTCCTTTTACTTTTCTTTTTTTTTTTCTCCTTTTCTTTCTTTCTTTCTTTCTTTCTTTCTTTCTCCTCTTCCCTTTCATTCTTATTTTCTTTCGTTTCTTTCTCGCTTTACTTTCTTTCTTTCTTTCTTTTCTTTCTCTTTTTTCTTTCTTTCTTTTCTTTCTTTCTTTCTTTTTCTTTCTTTTCTTTCTTTACTTTTTTCTTCCCTTTCTTGCTTATTCTGATTTTCTTTCGTTTTTTCTTTCTCATTAAAACTTTCTTTCTTTATTTCTTTCTTTCTCATTTTTGTTTTGTTTCTTTCTTTTTCTTTCTTTCTTTCTTTCTTTCTCCTCTTTCCTTTCATTCTTATTTTTCTTTCGTTTCTTTCTCCTTTCTTTTTTTTTCTTTCAATTTTCTCCTTTTCTTTCTTATTTCTTTACTTTCTCCTCTTCCCTTTCATTCTTATTTTCTTTCGTTTCTTTCTCCTTTTTACTTTCTTTCTTTCTTTCTTTCTTTTCCTTTTCTTTCTTTCTTTTCTTTCTTTCTTTCTTTCTTTCTTTTTTTTCTTTCTTTCTTTCTTTTTCTTTCTCCTTTCCCTTCTTTTTCTTTTTTTTCTTTTTTTCCATTTCTTTCTTTTACTTTATATTTCTTTCTTTCTTTTCTTTCTTTTCTTTCTTTTCTTTTCTTTTTCTTTTCTTTTCTTTCTTTCTTCCCTTTTCTTTCTTTCTTTCCTTTCTACACCTTTCTCCTCTTCCTTTCATTCTTTCTTTTCTTTCGTTTCTTTCTCCTTTTACTTTCTTTCTTTCTTTATTTCTTTCTTTCTTTTCTTTTCTTTCTTTTTCTTTTTTCTTTTATTTCTTTCTTTTTCCTCTTCCCTTTCATTCTTATTTTCTTTCGTTTCTTTCTCGCTTTACTTTCTTTCTTTCTTTCTTTCTTTCTTTCTTTCTTTCTCGCTTTTCTTTCTTTCTTTCTTTCTTTCTCCTCTTCCCTTTCATTCTTATTTTCTTTCGTTTCTTTCTCGCTTTACTTTCTTTCTTTCTTTCTTTTTCTTTCTTGCTTTTCTTTTTCTTTCTTTCTTTCTTTACTTTCTCCTCTTCCCTTTCATTCTTATTTTCTTTCGTTTCTTTCTCGCTTTACATTCTTTCTTTCTTTCTTTCTTTCTCGCTTTTCTTTCTTTCTTTCTTTCTTTCTTTCTTTCTTTCTTTCTTTCTTTCTTTACTTTCTCCTCTTCCTTTCTTTTCTCTTTTTTCTTTCGCTTTTCTTTCTTTTCTTTCTTTCTTTCTTTCTTTCTTTCCATCTTTCTTTCTCCTTTCTTTCTTTCTCCTTTTCTTTCTTTCTTTCCTTTCTCCTCTTCCCTTTCATTCTTATTTTCTTTCCTTTTCTTTTTCTTTTCTTTCTTTCTTTCTTTCTTTCTTTCTTTTACTTTCTCCTCTTCCCTTTCCTTTCTTATTTTCTTTCGTTTCTTTCTCGCTTTTCTTTCTTTCTTTCTTTCTTTCTTTCTTTCTTTCTTTCTTTCTCGCTTTACTTTCTTTCTTTCTTTCTCGCTTTTCTTTCTTTCTTTCTTTCTTTCTTTACTTTCTCCTCTTCCCTTTCATTCTTATTTTCTTTCGTTTCTTTCTCGCTTTACATTCTTTCTTTCTTTCTTTCTTTCTTTTTTTCTCGCTTTTCTTTTTCTTTCTTTCTTTCTTTACTTTCTCCTCTTCCCTTTCATTCTTATTTTCTTTCGTTTCTTTCTCGCTTTTCTTTCTTTCTTTCTTTCTTTCTTTCTTTCTTTCTCGCTTTTCTTTCTCGCTTTTCTTTCTTTCTATATATTTATTTTATTTCTTAATTCTCTTTTTAATTTCTTTCTTTAATTTTAATTCTCATTTTATTTTCTTATTTACTTCCTTAAATACTTCTTTTTCTTTTCTTTATTTTGTTTCTTACATTCTTGCATGGCAATATCACATTGAAACACCGGTTCATGTACGATCACCAAAGTTAAGCAAAGTCGAACCTGGTCAGTACCTAGATGGAAGACCGCTTGAGAACACCAGGTGATGTAAGCTTGGGTGTGCGGTTGGTGTACTTGAAAACGGCTCGAAACTGAGAATCGGAGAGCCGAGTTCCAATTCCAACCGCTTTCTCTATATTCACTTCCGCGCAAATATCCTTGGAAAAGATATGAATTCCCCTCTACCCACTCCATCTAAAGCTTAATGAGCAGAACTTGCATCAATAAAATGGTTATTTCCACCCCCAAAATTATTACAATGTAAAAATATTTTCTGGCTTTAAATAACCTGCAAATGTTGATAATCCGCAAGAAAAACAATCAATCAATATTTTTTGTTTTACTTGTTTTTCGTTCTTGTTTCCGTTCTTTCATTTGTACTCTCTTTCTTTATTTCTTTCTTTCTTTATTTATTTATTTATTTATTTATTTCGTACTTTCTTCCTTTCTCAAAAAATATCATTATATTATTATTTCCCTTACAAAACTCCACCCACTTACTGCATATTCTTCTAATATTGTTTTACTTCATTACTCTCCTCACCCTTCTCCCCTTGCTCTTCGTTTTAACTCTCCTCGTTCTTCACCGTCTTCATTCCAATACAGCTGTCCTCTTTCAGTCACTATCCATTTCTTTCTTTCTTTTTTCCTTTCTTTCTTTCTTTCTTTCTTTCTTTCTTTCTTTCTTTCTTTCTTTACTTCCTTCATTCCTTCTTTCTTTCTTTCTTTCTTTCTTTCTTTCTTTATTTATTTTTCCCATTCTTACTTCCCTTTAAAAAAAACTCCTTGGCCATTATTTACCTTATCGCTTCCTGCCCTCCTTAGACTTCCCCGTTTAAAGTTTGTTCACGTCATGGAGCCAAGGATTTTCACCCGTCGTCGGCCATAAACTGTGGCTGTTTTGTTTGACTATGTTTACCGCCAACAAGAGAAAATCTTTTCGCGCGAAAGTGAACATCCAAAAGCTTAAACCAGCTGTTTGCAAGTAACAAAAACAAAAACAAGATTTATCGTTTTTCTTTAATGCCGCTAATTCATTATTTTCAATCCTTTATTTTTTTGTTCTTCTAGTTTATTTACATCAAACCCTCACCCAGTCGCTGTCTTTTATTCCTTCTTTTTATCTTTGGTTTTGTGTTTGACGCGTTAATGTCTTCTCCTACACTTTTTTCTCATTCTTACTTCTGATCTCGTTTCTTGCTTTTCTGCTTTTGTCTTCGTCTTTCTGACAATTATTTTTTTTTTTTTTTTTTAAAACAAACTTTTTTTCTCTTTCTTTCCAAACTTTTCTTGGGTGTGCGTGCTACTCAGAAAGTTAGCATGATGGATTTCGTAATCGTGCAATTTCGTAGCAGAGCCTCGTTCTTAGTAAGGCCACCTTGTCGCCCATTTGCTAATGCAGCATATTCGATCTTCACAGAATGCCCAACTTCTGTGGCCTCGTATCAAACAAAGCATAGCCATCATTTTACACGCACCTCACTTTGAAAGAATAAACATAAAGTTCATCACGCAAATCTTTACTACTTTTTTAAATCATATCACCCCATCCAAGGCAGTAAAGTCACTAAGACACAAGAGATTATTGTGTGTGAATGTATAAGAAAAAAATGAAACATTATTAAGGAGCGAGAACAATAGAATAATATTCAAGAAAAATAGTAGATATCGATTGATATTGCATTTAAATTTGACATTGAAATTGTATTTAAAAGATGAAAGTTGACCGGAAAGCATGGTTCCTGTTGAGGGGTCCACTCCTTTTTACACAAATGGACTCACCCAGTATATACATATACTACGGCTACGTGAAGACCCAAGAGCAAGACCGAGGAGTCGAGTCGAGTCCAGAGTGACAGCGTAAAAGGTTGTAGGTAACCGGAAGAGTGAGGGTGAGGTAACAGCGTTGTAGGAGTCACAGTGAGCGAGCACGTAGACTCAGTAAGAAGTCATACAGCGATACTTCAATACCAAAGACTATATATATATATATATTGCTACTAACCCGTATTCCTGGAACTACTAACCTGCTTTACCAGTTTGTATTATTACGTTAATACATTATTTTCATATACTCATTCCTGTCGTTTGTTATTTATTCGTATCGGATTTCAACCCGGAATCCACAACAGTTCCACAAGCGAGAAGTGCGGAAAAATAAACTCTTAGCAAATAATTTGCGGTTAAGTCTAGCCAATTCAATTGTGAATTAATATGACCTTTCCACCAATCTTGTACTGCGCTTAAATTTTTGGAGTCTAGGTACCATTGTGAAAGGTGCATCGAAACAATTACCGTGAAACTATTTATAGAAAAGACACAGAGAAGCTACATTACGGCGGTGGGAAAGTGACCAATAATATTGCTGATTCTTTGAATTTTATCAAGAATCTCTAAATATACAGCAAGAGCACCGTACCATATATGGAAGTAATATTCAAAGCATGGACGAATGGTAGATTTATAAATATTTAACATAGATTCAGAAGAGAAAAAATGTCTAGCATGGCACAGTGAACCGACTTTCTTAGAAGCAGACCTAGCATTGGATTCAACATAATTTTTCCACTTCATGTTAGCCGGGAGTTTTAATACGAGAAGGCACAACTAGTCACTTTAACTGGAGGTTAGTATCAGCCATGCTTATCAGAGGCAGGGTTGGGTCTTTCAGGTGATTACTGTAGAGTGTTTGATCTTTGTGCGGTAGTAAGTATAGATTTATTGCTGATCAATGTTTATCATGCTTGCTAGTGTATCCAATTCGCTCCATATTGACTGTTATATTCCGTGCTAAGGGAATAAATACTTAACACCAGGTGGATAATAGAAGAAAGGTGTATTGTACACAACCAGTACAATATGAAATATGGTACAGTTATACACACAGGTCAATCTAGTAGTGAGTGCCACTAATTGGAAGGTTGGACGTGCTTGCGTCTTCTTGCTCTCACTCTTCCTTGAGTCTCTCGTAGATGGTTGACTTTATAGGTACTTACTACCTATAGTGTAATCATTCATGGGGGTGACTGGTTATTCCATTACATCACAGACTTTCCAACTAATTTGGCCTTGAGTCCAAATAAGATTTATAATTATTCTACAGCATCCTCGTCGTATAGGAGTGGTCAGCCGCACAGTATCGTGGAGAATTACTAGTGTAGTGAATTCTATTTATAGTGGGTGCTCCACGTCTGTGGCCTTGTGCCATCAAAACTCAGTTTAGTGTATATCGATATTTATTTAATGCTCTATTGCTGCGCTCTTGTGTTAAAATATGCTTACTACTACATTATGTTGAAACATCGGTTTCCGTACGATCACCGCAGTTAAGCAACGTCGAGCCTGGTCAGTACCTAGATGGGTGACCGCTTGAGAATACCAAGGGTTAATTAGTGAGACTTGTACAATGAAACCATTATTATCTAAAATAGAATCCTTACAATCTAAATATACTCTTTGACTTTATATAACCTACAATGGGCTGATAAGCCGTACTGTGTTAAATTAGATAAAGCGTATTACTATTTATTTATATTAATCACCAAATATAAAGTATGAGAGCCACTCAAGGTAGAGGGCGTAGAGGGTGGGAGAAAGAGGCGCATATTGTGCGGATATGTTAGATGGTCGACTTGAAAGGTTTACGATTGTAGTGACCAGGGAACCATCTCCTCGCGAGTGCGTTCCACAACAGTTCTGGATAAGAAGCCGTCTGAGTGGAACTTCTTCCTCATCAATGGAATATGAAGGGAATGAGGATGAGTTGGGTCAGTGTACGTAGCCCGGCGGGTTCTAACTGTGAATGGCTGGACTGGTACAACCAAGGAAGGTAACGTGTATTTGTGTATAATACATATCTGTGTATAATACGCGCTCCAACTTCGGGCTACGAAATTCTGGGGACAAGTGTTTTTGAGTATAATACACACTTACATTTAGAATTTGTAACAGTTAAATTTAACTTTAATTTAATATTTGTTCAATATTTTATTCAGTTCGTACCGACTATAAAAATAGGAATTTACATAGTTTATACTATAAGTAAAGCTGAATGAATATCAAACGGAATGGAAATTTTGAAAGACAATTTGGACAATTTCTATTTTGATATGTTTAACAGATGCACTGGCCAGTAAAATAATGCCATTTTATAAGAACAAAATCCACATTCTACTTCTTTTATCTACTGCGTCTCCTAAGGATGTGCGTGATCATGGCTCTTCATATCTTCCTGTTGTTTGTAACTCCAAGCAACGTTTGTTCCGTTACCATCCCTACTATTCCCCTTGCCTTCAGTATATCCTGTGAGTTTTAAATTCTCCAAACCATCCTTTCACATTAAACATACTTGTTGCTCACATGTTCTATCTATGGGAATTTTTCAGCACCCCCTTCCGTAGAACTACATCTCTGTCGGCTAGTCTCCTTTTCATCAACGGAGAAATTGTCCAGTATTCACTGCCATGAAGGGAGATGAATATTACATAGCAATTCAACACTAATTTGCTTCTAATGACATTTTGAATGTAGATAGTGAGGAAAAAACGACAAACTGAAATGCAAACAAAAAGGACACTTTCAATTAGCATCAGAAAGTGACAACTGAAATATATAGGGTACAGAATGAGGAAAGAGGGTTTGGAAAATTTGACACTCACGGGATATATTGACGACAAGCGTGACAGAGGAAAGTAGGGAATAATCTATCAAACGAGCTTGTGTAAATGGTTGACAGAAAAGGAATTAGGAGAGCTTGCAAAAAGAGTAACCTTGTTAGGAAATACAAAGAACAGGAAGTTGTGGAGGACTAGTATCATCCACGTACTGAATGGAGAATGAGATTCTGTAAATGTATGGCAAAACAGGAACTGAGGTGTATAGTTAAGAGGCTCCCATTACTTCCAGCTAGAAAGTTGTGGAGAGCCATGCTTACTTTTTGTTTTCGTTTTCCGGATCAATAAATAGATATAAGTTATATTCGATAAATTAAGAATAAACAAGGAAATACATGTGAAAATGAAAACTGCAGCAATCTTTTATAAATGAAGATAAA